CAGGGAGATTCCTGGTACTGGGTCGACCCCAGGGGCCACAGTGCGGCTGGAAGGAACAGGTCAACCGAAAAATACCTTTAGGATTACGTGACTAAACTACTGAGCGTTCTAGCTTTGCGTTTATGTTCTGGAGAGTGGTAAAACAAAATTCAAATATATTTCCTTATTACTATTCATAACACTACAGGCTCAGCTCCAATCGAGATCTTTGAAAATGTTTATCAAATAATTAAATTCATTCCATGCATTCGATTGTTTTGCAGAAAGAAATGCCTGCGACAGGCAACCACGTAAAATAACGAAAATAAAAAGAAGAAACATTGCACATGTAAAACTGATAGTGACTAAGTTATGTTAAGACTGAACAGACCTGTTTACTGAATGAAGAACAGTGGAATTCACTTTATTTGTGGATTCCATAAATTTGGAAAATTTAGTAACTATCTCTGAGGCAATTCTAGAGACAAAAATGTTATTTTATTCCTCTGGGCTCATCTGCCGGGCCCGTATGTTTGGAGCTAGAATGGTGGTGCTCACTGGGCCACAGCTCTGTGACGGACAAACTCCTAACTCGTCATGTGAATACTGGAAAATGTGCATGGTTTTGTGTCTCACCGATCTAACTCAGAAGCGAAGGAACGTACCGTGACATGACGCCCGAAAGCCTGAATAGTGAAGTCGAACAGCTGTTTATTGATAGGCAACGGCTCTGTAAACACATTCCCACGGCAACGAATATGCAAGCAACAATCGAGTAACTTCCGTTGCTAGGCAACGGCTCTGTAAACACATATTTCCAACAACAGAGATGCTTTGTATTCAGCGTGATCGGTGTAAAGTGGCTATAACAGAAGAGTTCGGTTGAGACAACTGAGTCGAGATCCGGAGATTGTTATAAACCTGTTGCCAGGATACGACTAGTGAAGAGTGAGAAGAGTGTAACGCTGAGCTGTAAAGTGTGTAGGTGAGAGATAGCGCTGTATTGTCTCTAGTCCAGAGTTGTGTGAAGGTACAACAATGATACTGTCACGAATCTTTATATCTTATGCACATAACAGAACAATCATTAAGACATCATCATCGATGTCATCACCACTATCACGGCAATCTTGCTTTAATGTCTTTCTCAGGACTGAAACGTTATTGCATTCGCGTTTGAACAATGAGCTCTAGCATCCCCTGTTCCTATCTACATGAACACGTCAGTGGCGCGACTGCGTGACCGATCGACAGGCCACGCGATTTCGCTGTATCAACAAGTGTATGTTGTGCCGATTAGCGGGCGCCATTCTAATTATCCGACGCAACGGGGAAGGGTGATACTGGCCTATGTAAACAAGACTCGAAACGGCGCTCTTCATAATGTGGCACTCAAAATTCGCAGCGGAATTTCTCGTTAATCCAATTAACGATGAATCATAATTGTGGAGTACAGACACGCTGCTAGGTGAAGACCTCAAAACAAACAACGAGACAACGGCCGTTGCTATTCAACGGCGCGGTAGATACGCCTCTACAACAAAAAATGCACTTCTGGAAATGGGTTGCTTTCTGTGTGGTCCGTGCCGAGATGTTACAAGCAAGGGACAAAATCAGTTCAGTCGACGTAGCGAAGGCTGCTAGAAATGAGGGAAAATTTGCTGTACTGAACCTCGACTGACAGAGGCCCTGTATACATGTGTATTGTATACACATTTTAGCATAATGATAAATGGCTTACTAGTGCAGACAATGACTGAAAAAAGACAGACCCATCCTCTCGTCAGAGAGGGCGCCCCATAGTAATGAGACTGTAACTGTCAAACAGTAGTAAATATCTCGTCACCGCCCCAGATGGGCCTCAACACCAAGACTGACTGACTGACTGACTGACTGACTGACTGACTGACTGACTGACTGACTGACCGTCAGTCGCAATGTGACTTTGAATTGAATTCAGTCGAATTCTGCACAGGAGACACTTCTGCAGGGAAGGCTGTGAAGATAGGTCATGAGCGCTTGAAGGTTGGAGGTCGTTGCCAGGAAACGGCCGGTGAAGACACAGCAGGATGAAAAAGACTCGGCGGGTGCTGTGGTGAATTGTGGAGATTGGCGGTGGCGTTGTAGTTACTTGTAGCTTCGAGTGCATAAGTGTAAGTGTATAAGTGTTCAGTAAATCCATCTATTTACTAATCCAAGCACCGTCTGTAGCCACTCCTACACGTGACAATATAGTAAAGACATTTCTCACCAAAATTCTCGGAGACCATACACCTGTTTTGAGAGAGACGTCGGTAACGAGACGCTTATACCCGTAATTGTAATTTATTGGCACCAAAACGACATTATGGACCCATAACAGAAAAAGGAACTCCCGCCTTCCCGAACGTTCCGCTTTATCTTTTAAATTTCCTTTTTCAAATCTCGTATTTTCATTTCCGGTATAAATTTGTTATGGGTTAAATCTGACTTGTAGAGTTACGCGCGTGACTGAATGCGTCGCGTTGTGAGGATTCTCTGCCTTAACAATTGGGGCACCCTCCATCTCATTCTCGAACTAGCGTCCCCTGCCTAATGGCTAGGCTCTCGTGTTTCGAGGCGCACCCTTGCCCATCGTGTTCTGAAGTGTCAGGCTGGGAGAGAGAAAATATCGAACCTTCGTCCCCTTCCTGCGGCACTCCTTGCTGCGTCGCATGAAAATGTATTCATAGTGCTCAAACATGTTCACTTGGGCTGCAAGAAACACACCATCACACATGTACAGAGGTTGAGACGCATGCATCGGTCACTTGTTATTTATATCTAAAATACTGAGGCATCTAGACCCGTAGCTTGGCAACGACCACGAAATAAGCAATACAAGAGCGGTTGCTAAGTAACGGCTCCGCGAACAAGCATGTTTCTACGGCAACAGAGGAGCGATGTTCTCTATGCAGTTCATGACAAGATGTTATAAACAGTGCAAGGGAAGACAGTAATAAGCATACACAACAAAAGTAAACGGCATGAATGATACTGAAACAGCCGCCAAAAAGACAAGACGGAAATGTCCTACGAAAGAAATTGACACCAAAAACGACGTGCCTCAGGGCACAGAAGACAAATTGTACAGTGCAGTGGTGTCCCCAGTAATAAGTGTTTCCTGATGACGGTCCATGTGTGGCCGAAACATGCAGCAAGGAATGAATGTATATATAGTTAATGACATTTAAAATATTTAGCTAACACTGTCAGTGTATTTTATAAAAGTTTAACTTTGTTGCGCTACAGGCGGAATACGATCTAAAAATGTTATAAACAGAGTCAGTTGCAGTTAGTGGAGGTGAGTTGAGTTCGTTGGTGTGTAAGTTTGAGTACTGCTGCAGTTCAGTTGTTGTGGGTTGTTGCTGTTTGAAGCTCGTAACTGGGGACGGGGGCAAATAAGGAACCCAGAGTAAGGGGAACGTCCGCAGTTAGAAGCCGTTACCAAACAACGGCAGTGAAGACCGTGGAGTGTATCAAATCCAGTCATCATTCCAAACCCCGTCTATAGTCACTCTAAAACCGTGAGAACACATAATGTGCACCCACCTCGCACAAGATACAAGTATAGGGAGATTATACAGGACAAGAATTCACAGATCACAGAGCGATCTTGGTTGGAAAGTCTTAGAAGCAATTCTATCCAGAGATGTTATGAAACAACTAGGAGAAAGAAAGAAAGAAAGAAAGAATGAATGAAGAAGAGAGGAATATCAGGGTGGAAAGAATGTGTACAGGGAACTACTGGAGAAAGGAAAGGAGAAGTGTCTGAGAAATCTGCAGCTAAATAACGAAGAAAATCCAGGCAGCTATAAAGCACGTTGCGTAGCAATGCACAGTGATTTATAGGGAAAGTTGAGACGGCTGCACAAACAGCATGCAGTGGGATATACATGGAGCTTGTAACATGAAGCCAAGAAGAAACAGAAAGAAGATTTACAACTGAACACCATCCACAGAAGAAGCTGGGCTACTAGTTTCAGAAACTTGTGGGTACGCCATACTGAAGAGGATACGATAGCAATTTCTTTCAGCGTAGTTCGCGTTTCTACAATATCCAACTCGAAGAACTATAAACTATTATAAAGAATGCTGTCACGTGATGAGGTATGACTATACACGGAGTTTGGAATGGTAATCGGATATAACGAACTGCTTGATAGAGACCGTGACTATATTGTAACGGATTTGCTCAGAGCGTTTCTAGGCAACCGCTCCGTAAACATGGTGAACCTGTAACAATGGAAGTTGTGTCTCAGTGGACGAATGTTACTACGCAACAGCGTGCCAATGAAGACGTTGGGTAGGAATCACGAGACTTGTTCTCTGTGTGGTCTTCCTTATGCAACAATAGAAGTGTGTTCCAGAGACAACATATGCTGACTAAAGTTGATGACGCTTTACTTCAGTCCCTCCACATAAATCCGGATCACTGTTCTATAAGACACCACGATTTATTTTCCAGTGTTACACGCCCCATAATTATTCCGCACAATTCCACGAATAATCAGCCCACGATGCTGCATCTTAATATTGACAGAACCAACTGCTTCAGTTCACAACTGCTCCAGAGACGCCTGAAAGTAATTGGTTTCATGCTCCAAATTCGTTAGTGTTTCATAGGAAGCACTTTTTGTTCCTTGCCTTTGAACAGCGCTCTCTGGAATCTGAACAGCCCTTAAAAAGAGATACTTCATCCTTCGCTTGGTTTTAATATGGAACGAACCAGATTTTGTTACAAAAACGCACAGAATGTTATCACTGGTTTTATTCTGTTTCGAGCTGTAATGAGTGACGCCATGTGATACATATGCAATGGCTCTCGACTTCAAAACAAAGACAGAACACTGTGCAAAACTGACAGTAACATCGGGGCGTGTGACCAGGAATGTTGCCTGTGGCGGAAGGCAGAGGGTTCCCCTGACAAGTTGACGGCGGATAAATAAAATGATTGAAGAGGTTATGTTGGCAGAGAATTGAGTGCCACAGTAACAACTTACCGCCCTTTGTAGTCGGGTATATGTTGAACTTGGAGTCCTGGACCCAAGATGTGACAGTGATGTATTCCCGGACGAAACTCGGTATTGTACACTTGAGCACAGCCGTGTTCCCCCGGATCACGTTTCTGTTGTAGTACACTTGCAGCTCGTAGTACTGCAGGACAACTGCGGAGCAGAAACAAAGACCTGTGCGTGAATGACGTAACAAATTGCTTATACGGTATGTCTTCATGGCAACGTAACTTCTGTGGGACAAGATGGAATAACCTATGGTTGAGGTAAACTCGTAGGGAGGATAACATTAAGAAAGGTAAAAGGGGTCAGGATATAATTTAGGCAACGGCCGAGGAAAGAAACTGTTCTTCTACCGCAGCCCCCCCCCTCAAAAAAAAAAGGTGTACGGAGTTGAACCGAAATGTAATGTAGTGTGATATTCCCTCACATGACTGCCTGAATGGCAGGGCAAAGCAAATGGTGGCGGAGTTGTGTATACGTTTTTCAGGCTCCATGGCGCAGAGTCGTCCGCGAAAAACTTATTGTTGCTTAGCCTGCCAAGAAACTGCATGCGCTTGGGAACTGGACGCTCAGTGCCGCACGTTCTGGAGCCTGCCGTGTGACTGCCGTTACTTGTCTGAAGCACAACTCGGTACTAAGCTCCCATCTACTTCTAGACGTAACAACGCCTCTTCCTCCCTTGACTTTTCCACACCAGAGATCTGTAAGCATTTCTCTCATGCACGCCGAACTCACAGGCGTTATGCTGTTGGACACGTGACCCGTTTCCCTTCCTGTGAACGCGCTCTTTATGCACCCACATTTTTATGTCCGCAACTCTCGCCCCATTTTATTTTATGTCAGTTCCATTTTCTTCCTCAGAACAGTCGTCAAATACTTTCGCATACAGGCGCATGTCCGACATACTTACTTCACATATACTTGATTTCTACTCTTGCGATAGCACAGAGATGATATTATGTTATGTATATCCGTTGCTAGGCAACGACCTATACAACGGTCATTACTAGGCAGAAAAGTAGAAAAGTTAGGAGTCAGTGATTTTAGTGGAGAGGAGTGAGTTGGTTGGTGCGTTAGAGAACCTCTGCAGTTCAGTCGTTGTAAGCTGCTGTCTTGAGAAGCTGGTAGCTGAGCCACGGCAATAGTTTGGGAACCCTGAGGAAGGGGAAGGTCCGCCGTAGAAAGCCGCTATCAAGCAACGGCCAGTGAAGACGTGACTGTGGACAGTAGCACGTGTGCGCCTATGTATGTATAACAATTGTAGCTACGCGCTGTATCGAAGGGTCCAATAAATGCGACCACCAATCACAAACCCGTCTCTAGTCGCGCCATCACGTGACAGAAGGCTGTTATTATCCCGTCCCGTGACAAAGACTCTCCTCCCATCGCCTTCCACCTGGTCGACAGTTATTAACTTTTCGGTCAGTCTTGAAGAGTCCATGCAACTGGTTTCTGCAGTCCTGCGTCCTTTCCTCCGGAGGGTACCGTATATCTGTAATGCGCTGCGTGTCACTGTGCATATCCAGAGACACGCCTTCAAAGCCGCGTTTCAGCTGTTTCGGTTTCCTTCCTTTCAGGTCTACTTCCGCACACAAGCACAGCAACCGCCAGTAAAAGGTAAAGCTATCCCTGTAACAGGCCGTGGAGGTCCATAGGGTTGTGAGACGTCGAGGCTCCCACATTTTCTAGACAATCGGCTCACAGATGGCGGTGAGGTTGTCATTCTTACGCGCCGGTCACCCTTTAGCCCCCCAGGAAGATTCCTGATACTCATTTCTATTAGTAGCTGAGTCGACCTCAGGACCATAGTGCGGCTGGAAGGATTAGATCAGTTAAAAAACCACTGACATCAGGAATCGAACTCGCGACCTTCCGGCTTGTAGCATAGTGCTCCAGCCGCTATTACGTTACAAATTTTAATATGTGAGCCACTCCCTGTTTTATTTTCTAGTGTTCTCTGTACTGTCCGACGCATGTGTTCAAATCCAGACGCCTTGTTTTCAAGAGGATTGTAATAGCACTACTTTCTGAACATGTCTATCTTTTTATTTTGTACAGTTTTCGCTCTAATTGTTAACGTTATGCAGTCACATTAATCACGAAAGGACATTCTGGACCTCATTCCTTCCAGGAAAGTTTGCGGGCAATGAACAGAACTAATTTGATTTTTCTCTTCTGTTCACCGCCCAGTCAGTTCTCATTTCATATCACCCTTCTTTTTCCTTGGCACTACAGCTCCAGTGGGCCTAGGCCTACCTCCATGAACTTCTCCGTTCACTTCGGTTTTTCTACATCTTACACATTCGGTAGGACTCCTTGGGCGGGTGATCAGCTCGTCGCAAGGCCTCTACCTGTACACAAACACATAAAAACGCATACACACAAACTAAACATCCATGCCCTGAGTGGGATTCGCACCCACGATCCCGGTTTCCAAGCGAGCGAAGACAGTACATGCCTTAGACTGCTCGGCTACCGTGACCGGCCCATTTCATATCATCTTCACAGCTAAGTCCACATCATTAATGACTAGCCTTCGGGAATTCCAATTTCCTCAGCATCTGCGCCAGCAACAGCAGAAACATAACTCAAAGGGACAGTCAGAAACACTCCACTTACAAGAAAGTGACAGATCTTGTAGGGCCGGGCCGAATACAGACTTCCGCCTCTCTCTAGTGAGAGAGAGAGAGAGAGAGCAAGTTTTATTGCTCTCCTATGCTCCATTCGTGCCCGATCCCCTTGACCCCTTATGCGTATTTCCTTTTGCGCTTTCTTCCTCAATTTTCCCAATGGTCCTAGGTACCTATCTCAAACACAGCAAATTACTTTACTTTGTTATTCTGGCCAGCTGACAGCTCGCAGCCGAGGGAGCGGTTTCATGGGGATGGGGAACACGAAATTGGAAAGAGAGGCCCCGCGGGGTGCACAGTCTCCACACGTGTTCGTCGTATTCTGGGTTAGCGTAGTTTTCTTTACGTAGTATGTGTGCACCCTGTTGTGTGTTTAATCAATAGCAGAGTCAATTTACCGACTACACAACACGTTTTTTATTATCACTACATGTTTCGACATCAAGAGGTCATCCTCAGGTGTACGAACATGGCTGTATAATTACACGTGGTCACATTCGCTTTTTATTCGACCCTATATCTTATCCAGACTTACGCTCAATAATATATCAAGTTCTTTTATAAAACACAAGTTAAAATATTATTCTAATTTAATTGTTAAAAGTTATTTTGACTATAGATGGGGTTTGCATTGAATAGATGTATGGACCACTTACAGGTTGTAATTACAAATAACTACATTATCAGACGGTCACGGTACCCAAGCAGTCTAAGGCATGTAATGTCTTCGCTCTCTGGGAAGCCGGGATCCTGGGTTCGGTTGCAAAATAAAGCATGGAAGTTTGATGTGTGTATGTGTTGTCCTGTGTTTAGGTAGAGGCCTTGTGACCAGCTGATCACCCATCCAAAGAGTCCTACCGTCTGTAAAAATGATTAACGAAACTCAGAAATCAGCCAACCATATGCTCCAAAGAGGGAGCGAGAGGAGAGAGAGAGAAAATAACACTATCGCTAGTTCCGCACTTTACAGTTAACTACAGCACACAGCCTAGTGTTCTAAGTCTGTTAGTAGACGTTTCCTGGTAACGGCTCCAACAATGTCTATTTCTCTGCCTCTTGCTCAAATCGTCTCCTCACAGACTCCCATAGAAAAATGACTCTCAACTAACCTTGTTTCTCTTTATAACAACTCGGCATGGACCAAGTAGAAAACAGCTCTTCCATTGTTGTAGTCCAACTGTCGCATTATTAAGAATCTGCTGCTTAGTAACGGGAGTTGTTCCGTTTATTTGTTTCGCGGAAATGTGTTCACCGAGCCGTTGCCCAGAAACGACCTTGACATATCGGCCCATTTCGCGGTCGTTGCGTAGCAACAGTTCCTACACGCTACTTTAGACACTATTGTTGTAGTTACTGTGACCACTATTATTATTATGGCTATTTCGGACACTATCGTTATCATTATCACTTTGGATGCTGTCAGCATTGTTAAAGTGGTTAATAAGATTATTATTGTTACTATTCCTATTGTTCTCTGATTATTACGCTTCCTGCGGTTAACAGGCTGACCACGTTCTCCGGGTCAGTAATGGTGCTATGGAACTCCCTCCTCAGAAGTTTGTGCGTCTACCATATTGTTCTTAATGTGTTGAGTTACCCGCCAGTCGCATAATGTACATATTAAATTAAACCAAAATCCGTCGGCGTCGAAATATGCGGACAGACGTCCGAGAAGGCGTCAATGCAATTGGTCACCGCGAAACTTACGGAGTTTACATGACAACTCCACGGTTCTGGAGTGAGGCAGTGAACCCGCTGGGCGGTGGCTGACAAGAGGCGGACGCCGCTCACCGACAACTAAACAAGAAATGGGGCGAAGGATATAAAGAATTGAGAAAGAGAGAGAGAAATTCATAGAAATAAGTTCCAAGGGAAAACGAGAAGAATAAACAAAGCAAAAGAAGGCAGGAGAAAGACAAAGAGGAATAAGGAAGGTGGAAAATGGATGGAAGAAAGATAGACAATGACTAGATAGAAAAAACGAAAGAAGAGAGAAAGAAACTGGAACATGTTTTCATACACATACACATACACTTACATACTTTGTACAAACATATGTACATATACAAAAATATATCCGTACACCCAACACATTTTACCACATTTGTACGTGTTTAAGTGCAAACAAATATGCACGTACGCTCATGCATAACGTATACAAACACATTTATACTGTAACATATCCAACATAGAAATGTTGCAGAGATTTCAAAATAAAGTACTTCGCGCCATAGTCAGTGCACCGAGGTACGTCCCAAACAGATTGCTACATGCCGATCTAGGCATAGCCGCAGTACGGGAAGAAGCTACAAACATCTGCCGTAAATATAAAGACAAGATCACAGCACACCCAAATGAACTGGCAACCACATTACGTATTAAACTACGCAGACGAGGCCAGAAGACTGAAAAGACATAAGCCATACGACCCAACGACGCGCTTCACATAAATGCAATAGATTCCAAGAGAATGCTCACTGGAGCACTACTCTTCCCGACACGTTCTTTCTTAGTGTATTTAAGTCTTAGATGAAGTATTTCATAAGATGTACTCATAGTCCTTAATATCGACGGATTGTACAAATAAACGGAGATACACAAAAAAAAAACTGTAACATGGATTCCTATTGCTAGGCAACGGCTCGATAAACAAGTTTCCGCGAAGACAGCACCTTGGTAAACATTCAGTTGCTAGGTTACGCAACAATTCTGACAACAGAAGAAGTGTTTTCAATGTGCTCCGTGCCATGCAACAGAACTCTTAAGCGTTTTCTATCCGCGTTCAGTGCCAAAGGTTTATAGAGGACAACAAAGTCGCAACTGAGAAGCCGTGAGTCAAGAACCCGCGTCTTTCTTGAAGAGACGCAAAGCAACGGGCGCGTATTCACTGCAGTGCACATAACAAACGAATAACAAAGCCGTTGCCACGAAGCATTCCGTTGTTGTCCGTTTTATGAAGGCAGGTTTTTCAGCATATAAACGCGAGGCAATGAAAGTATCAGTTTCGCGGGTAACCGATACTCTAGGCGCTTTGTCAACATCCATTAACTAATTAGAGCCCGCCTTGAGTCATGAAGGACACGCAGCGCGGCCAGCGTGGCAAATGCGCATGTGCAGGAAGCATTTCACGGAGAAAACAAAATGCGATCTTCAGAACTTGATGACCTTATCA